AGATTCTTGTGCATCTCAGCTAAGATGACAACCAATTTATCTGCACATAAATTCCAGGAGTAAGGAGTACTTCTGAGTGTCAGGAATTAGGACCATATTCAGAATGTCCCAAACCCAGTGTGGGATGAGACTTGTGTGTTTCACAGCCTCTTCCCCAACTCTGTCACTTCTGCAGGACCCCAGAGGGATCCTACTTGAGGCCCTGCCTCTGTTCCTCAGGAAGACAAGAGCATTTCCTTAGTAATTCCAGGTGGACAGGATGCTTTTCCTAACAGTGAAAGACTTGGCCACTATAAGCTATAGGAACTACAGCTGATTACCAGCAAACCTGGGGGCTCCTGTCTCCCACACTGTGGTGGCAATACCAGTCTATGACAATACAGCCTTGTGCTGCCAGTGCTGTTTGTGTGGGTCTGGTGTAAAAGCAGATTTCCAAATAAAAGCCTCCATGGGGAAAAAAATGAGGGGGATGTTTTCTGCGTGTTTGTTTCAAGTGGGACTGGTTCTCCAACCTGTTTCAGTGTTTGTCCATAGCACTTGAGTGCACGTAGCTGCTGGGGGGAGATGAGAAGTGCCAGGGCAGCAAAAGGAAAGGCCAGGGGATTGTGGTGGTGAGACAAACCTTTTGCCCTCTGAGTGTTGATGGATCTTCTGGGGACATCCAAGCAGTCTCAGCTCCTGAATGATGAGATTACCCTCCCTCTTTCTTATTGAGGCATGTACCTGGGGGATACAACTTTGATCACTTTGATTTCTTCTTACCACACGGTGCTTTTTAGACAATTACACTTCAGGCACTACTAAAATATCTGCTCTGCAATATTTGCTTTATCACAATACTTGACTTTGTTACTTCTGCAAAAATCTTAATGGGGGCTGGATTCTTATACAAGTGAACCTGCATAATGAGTAACTCCATTTCAGAGCCCAATACTCTCAAATTTTTCTCTCTTATCCTGAGGTTGTACGGAAGAATTTCCCTGGTTCAGGGAAAGAAAACCCGCAACAAATCAGCCTTCCCAAAGCTCAAGCACTGCAATGACAGTTTGATAACCAGCTGAAAAATGTGTCTGGTGGAAGATCCAGAGTAGGAGTCTGGGCCTTAAAAGCAGGGTCCTAATCCATAACAAATTACTGTGTGCAACACTTTTCCAGGGAGCCCACACAGTGAGGTAAGGTTGCACCATACTCTCTCTCCTTCCTTGAATAAAAAGTGCCTGCTCTAATGAGAGACAGGTCCCTGATTCAGCAAACCACTTAAGTGTTTTGATGAACTGGGGCCAAACTGAACATCTTGTGCAGAACTCAATTGTCTAGTGAACAATATCAAATATTTTATTCATGGATGCAGACTTAAATGAAAATTAAAGACATGGCTATTTAAGGCCTTAGGTGCCCAAACTCATATTGTTCATTTTTTATTATCTTAAAGTAATCATTTGTACGGGAAAAGAAGCAGCCACCTCCAGAAAATCCATCCCTGTCATGCTGGGAAGAATATTCTCAGTTCTCCCCCAGCACCCTGTCAATTTGATGGCTTATGTAGCTTGCTTAGAAACTTGTCACATTCAGGCTATTTCAACAAGTTCCAGCCAGTATCCTGTTTTCCTACCAGGAACACCGAACTTTAGTACCCTTATTGGCTGCATAAGGTGTGGGCAAGAAAGGCACAGCCTCCAGTAGGCCAGATCAGGTATTAGAAGGGTCTTAATTATTGTGCCATCACCCTTACTCCCCAGACAAGGCAGAGAGCTCTGTGCTGACCTCAGCCCCTGAGGTTGCAGCCAGCAAGCATCCCTCTCAGGCTGCTCTCCTCACTCCAACAACTTGGGCTGTCCTGCTGAAAGGGCCTCTCCAACCCAGAGAACACCAGCCTTGGAAAATGAAGCATTACAGCAGGTGAACACAAACCTCAGCCTATGAAAGATTTCGCTGAGTAGTGCTTCACCTGAAATGCTGGATGCAGCAGCATGCTGTGGCTGAAGGCTGCATCACAGGCAGGTGGAGAGAGCAGAGCTTGGACTTGGGCACATCCTGACTTCAGGGTGTTTCTCCTTAGAAACATAATCTTTTTCTACTGAAAATGTTCAGTAGAACATTATCTATGCCTTTTGTATATTTGAAAATATTTCCATAGATAGCAAAATGCCAAAGAGAGCTGTTTCTAGTATAGCAACACATACTTTATTTTCTTCTCCTTGTCCACCCTACAGCAAGAATCTTCAACTCCTTTTTACTTATCAACACACCCACTTGTCCTCACAGTTAGGCAGAAAACAGTCAAAGTATGGATTGAAAAGAAAATCTGGCATTTTTCACCACCTTGTCTATACTTAGTTGCAACCACCTCCCTGCCATGGAATACAGGCACATGCAAATGGGAAGAAAATGAAAAAAAAATTAAAAAACCATACATGCAGACATTTTTGGATAAACCTTATGCTCTCTTTGATTTATTCCCATACAGCTACTAGCGCTCAAATGATTTCCAGAGCAGGCATAAGTTACATGGCACTCAGTTTATCTGCTTTGGAATGGCAAAGTGCACATACAGATATACACTGTGGTTCCAGGGAGTCTAGGGATTTCAAAGGTGCTTTATCTCCCAGATAACTCACTGGCAAAGAAGGGTGAATTAATAACAGTGTTGGTGACTAAAATTGTAATGATAGATTATGAGTATGGGCTTTAAAAAAGAAGCGTCAGTTAAATGCATGTTACAGATTTGTTCAGAGGAAGATATTAATAGTTTATTTTCTTTTTTTAATTTGTGGATTCCTAAGCATTTTTCTTGGAGAAGCACAAATCCTTGAATTGTGTACTTCAATCTACTGGCAATGGCTTTTTTCCCTGTGCTCTCACAGCATCGCCCCACTCCAAGTAGTCTTTGGGGATCTGTGAACCAGAAGTAAAACCCCATCTCCTAGCAGTCAGACAGGAACCACATTCCCCTAAATCCCACACACTGATCTGATTCACTGCATGACTCTTGTAAGCCTCCATCCACCTCCTCTCTGGGAAAACACAAAAGATCCACAGTTTTGAAGTTCCTGGGCTGAAGGACTTTGAGCTTAGTACGGAGAAAGGCTGAGCAGCCAGAGTTCCCACTTACGGAAGTGCCAAGTGCACAGGAATTCTGTACAGGCATAGCACTGAGGCACTTGAAATGACGGGAATGCTGTGTATTTGTGCCCTTTGCCTCTGCACTCATGACACCATCGCTCTAAAGGAAGGTGAATCTATTTATATGCACTGCTAGAGGCTGGAGCCCTCATTTTCACTGGGCCTTTGAGGAGCCTTTGTCATGTTTTTGTGACACAACAGTATTTGAATGACTTGGAAGGCTTCAGAAAAATAGTAAATACTGTCAAAAATACAAAATGTTTGTATCCCTCAGCCAGGGGGAGGGAAAAAACATGCCGGAAGCTTAGCCAAGCCTGACAGGGTATTGTGGATCTTGATCTTTGCTCACCCAATAGTTAGATATTGTTCCCCCTGCCCCCCCTTTTAATGGAGTCACTGCCTTATCTCTTAAAATGATCTCATTAAAAGCAGGGGACAAGACAGCAGAGGGTAGGAGGCCTGTAATTACAGATGGAAGGTTGATAAAAGTACCACTTCATACACCTTGTCATCTCTCAAGGGGGGTGGTCTTCAAGAAAGCATGAACTCCTTTTGACCACTTCTCTGAACCACACTGACAGAGAACTTGTGGTGGAGATGTCACACAAAGAAAAAACAGATGAGAGATAGGATTTTTTCCTATTCTGGGGACTGTCCACTGCTGGGATCCTAGTTTTCCCAGCAAATGCAACCCTAGGCTGCGGCAGGTGTGAAGGGGTAAAGAAGATTTGGTTCTCTGTGTCAAGCTACACAGGGTCTGTTACTGGAAGAAGGAATATGTTTGAGAGCAAGCTGTCATATCTAGCAGGAGGAGCAAAGGGCTTTCAGGCCCTTGGACTCTTAACTGGAACCTGCTAAAGCTTTTCTGCATGCCTGCCTTCCCTCAGTGTGACTGTTCTCCTGTTCTGAAAATGGCCATAACAAAACTCCCTGCTGTAAAACAATCCCTGCTTCTCAAAGTAAAAAATGTGGCACGAGGGCCTTGTGATGTCCACAGCAGCAGGCAATGCCCTGCACTGCTTAGCTAAGGCTCATCCTTCTCCTTTCAATGCATCCCATGCTACCTACCCTCGGAATTCGACTGCTGTGCAGCAGCCCACAGCCAGACCACAGCTGCTGTCTGAGGGGAAAGGATGTATGGTTGCAGATCTGCAAAGTAACGATTCAGGATTACTGCTGGGATGACCTGGAGTGGGACACACCAGCCAAAGAGCAGGAATTTTCAGGTATCAAAGCCTGACCAGGATTTCACCTGCTGGCAGGAGTGAAGTTCCCTGTATGTTATCTCTGCTTCACTCAGTCACCCTGCCAAGGTCTCAAAGAGTTTGTAATTGCTTGTAGATACTGAAAACAGAGCTCTCCTGATTTTTCTTAAGCTAATCTCACTGATACCTATTACGGAAAGAGAACACAAGCATTTCCAATACAGAACATTACAATCCCTGCCTGGTTTGATGTAATAAAATTTCTTTTGATCTGTATGGATTTGTTCTCCGTTTAAAACACTGACAGTGACACTGAGACATTAATCCAGGTTTACAGCACCACAGCTGCATGCGACAGTTTCCTATGATGAAGAAATGACGATGCATCAACTACCCCACGGAAAAGTGTGTGACAGTGTGCCAAATCAACTACACTGGTTAGGTAGCACTTCAAGGGGCAATATAATGCAGAAGTGGTCTGGAGGTCCTCTTTTAGTGTCCTACTGATGATGCTTCTTCTCTGCCACATAGAAAGAAAGTCAAGGTTGGTACAGTGCATTGCTGTTCAGGAGTAAAATGCTGTTAAGGAGTGAAAATGAAACTAATAGGCGATTGCAGGCACTGGAATTTTGACCCAGTTTCTAATGCTTATCCCCTTCTCCCCACCCACAGGCAAGAGCCAAGCATTTCCTGGGAAATTTCAGAAGAAAATCTCAAGGGTAAGTAATGAAAGCTATCTGAGTGTCGCCTCAGGGCTGGGTTGGTGCAGCCTGGTAGGTAGACAGCTGTCCAGGTATTTTCTAGGTAAACCAAAAGCCTCAGCCTCCCACTCTGTCAACTCAGTGCCAGATCTAATAATGACCATGAGAGGCTCCAATATGGAGATTATGCATACAACTAAACAGTGTCTCTGAAATGCTGGCCTGCTGTCTAAAATTGCATCTGATCTCACTGCTGGTTTTTGCTTTCATGTTCAATATGTTCTGTTGCAGAAGCACCACAGAACTGAGAGATCAAGATGTTTCTAAGTCCCAGTGGGAGCATCCAGCCAGTAGATTGAAATACACAATGATGGAGCATCCCCCACATCTGCAAATAGCCAATCCATCAGAAGCTCCAGAGCTGGTCTAGGGAGCAGCGACAGGGCCAAGCTCCACCACCTGTGGTGCCCCTCTACACGATTGTTTAAATAAACACGATGATTGCAGTGGCAGATATCCCCCTAACAGACCATGTTTTCGTGGGCAGTTTGATGAGCAAGTTCTTTGTGCAGGATGTTTAAGGCTTGAATTCAGTTCCTGTGCAAGGGTTTCAAGCCATGCTAAGCAGGGAAGTGCTCTAACTATGTTCCGCCTTCCCAAGAATGTTTGCAGCTATTTTTGGAACCCTCAGCAGGTGAAGCCTCCTGAAACACTTTCTCATTTCCAAGTTTATACAGGATTCCAGGGCTTCTACTAAGCCGTCGAGAATAAAAAAGAGCATCAGCTCATTTTCTTTGCCAGAAAATCTAGACAGAAGTAAAAGCAAAGTCAACAAACTTCTGGAAGAAAACCCCAAAACCAAACAAAGCGAACAAACACAAAGTCATAATTTCTGCATCTGTCTCTCCCAGAATTTGAAGCAGAAGGGAAGGATGACCATAGCCAAACTTGGTCCCCTAGCCAGGCTCCCTGAGCAGCAGAGGGCACAGAAAGCTGCCCCCTGACTCGTCACCGAGTCCCGAATCAACATCAGCTCATTTTCTTTGCTAGAAAATCTAGAAAATTGCTAGAAAATGCTAGAAGTAAAAGCAAAGTCAACAAACTTCTGGAAGAAAACCCCAAAACCAAACAAAGCGAACAAACACAAAGTCATAATTTCTGCATCTGTCTCTCCCAGAATTTGAAGCAGAAGGGAAGGATGACCATAGCCAAACTTGGTCCCCTAGCCAGGCTCCCTGAGCAGCAGAGGGCACAGAAAGCTGCCCCCTGACTCGTCACCGAGTCCCGAATCACCAGAAGGAGTTTCCAGCAAGAGCATCTCCCACGGAACGGGCACGGAGCGCGCTGGGGCTCCGCGGGCTGGCAGCGCGGCAGGGACCATGCCCAGCAGAAAGGGAACGGGAGCCCCGGCGCTCCTAAGCCTCTCAGCGAGCGGCGGCAAAACCCGCGGGGAACCGGCCCCTGGGGGCTCCGGGAAAGGCGCCCGGGGAGCCCCGGCCTGGCAGCGGTGCCGGGAAGGGGCGCTGGCTGCGGCGAGGCGCGGCCGGGGCGAGCCTCAAGGTGAGCCCCCGTCCCAAGATGCACCCGGGACGGCGGAAGGGCCCGCGGGCGCTGCTCCCCGCCAGCCGCGGCCGCCGCCTCCCCCAGCGCCGCCCCCCGTTCACGCCCCCTCAGCCACAACGGGCTGGGCGTGGCGGAGCGAGGCTCTTTATGCGGCGGGAAGCCGGCGGCCGGAGCTGCGCGCGGCTGCGGCGCGGGAGAGGAACGACCCGGGCGGGGGCAGAGGGGGGCGAGGCAAAGGCGAGGAGCCGAGGAGGAGGAGGAGGAGGAGGAGGAGGAGGAGGAGGAGGAGGAGGAGGAGGAGGAGGAGGAGGAGAAAGAAGAGGAAGGAGCGCGCCGGCCGCGGTGCTCCTATTGTTCCGCACCTGTGCCGGCCGGGACACGTGGCGCCGCTGAGCCCCGCTCCTCGCCCCCCGTCACTTGGCCCGCACGCAGTCGCCCGGCACCATGGGCAAGGGGGTGAGCGGCGGGGCCGGGCCGGGGCGGGAAGTGGGAAATTCAAGGAACCGGACGGCGGCCGGTGCCCCTTTCCCTTCGACGAGGCTGCGCTTTGTGTGTGCCGGGCCGGGGCGGCCACGTCGGGTCGGGTGCGAGGGCGGCCGGGGCCGTTGGCGAGCGGCGCCGGTGCCGCCAGCCCCAGCAACGTGCGAGGGCGGCCGCCGCGGGCCGCGGGAAGGAAGAGCCGGGCCGAGGGCGTGGCTGAGCCCGGGGCGAGGAGCCGGCGTCCCCAAGCCCCCGGCTCCTCCTGGAGGCCGTGTCTCCCGACGAGGCCGCCCGCAGCCCGCGGGGCTGGTGTTATCTGGTGGCCTTGCGGAGCCGGGGAGGGAGCGCGGCTGCTCCCCGGGCTCCTGAGAGTACTTTAGACTTTCCTTGAGACACGAGGGCCCGGCGTGGCGGGGGCCGAGAGCAGGGGAGCCCTCAGCGTTATTGGGGCTAATTTGCCTGTTGGTAGCAGTGGCGGTGTGATGGGAGATGGTGGCAGAAGGGAGGCGGACACGCTTGAGGTCTCCTGTTCGCCGGGGCGATAACTTGGCACAGCAACAGGCTGTGCGGCGATTCCTGCAGCGGTTCCTGCTCTGGATCAGCCTTGTTTCTATTTACAGCCCATTATAGGGCTATAGGAAGGAGAAGTCGTGAGTTCGGGTCGTATCTTTTAACTAAAGAAAAGTGTATATGAAGGCTGTTGGGGGATGTGCTCAAGCACCCGTGTGTGGAGACAGAAACACCTCTTGGCTTGCTCCGTTTTCATTTTATGTTAAACTAGAGACCAGTTTCTGGGGTTTGTTGCTTGGATGTTTGTTTTTTCCCCTTTGAATGCTTCCCTGTATATCTTGTGTAGTTGGAGGTGCGTAGATTCGTGTTTACTTTTGGTTTAGACACATTCCTGTAAAATTCCTAGGTTTCTCTGTTTCCTGAGGAGAGGGTGACTGTGCAGGGCCATGGCAGCGGCGGTAGCCTGTTCCCTGCCAACAGGTGTTCTGTGCTTCCAAGCGCTGTTCAAACATTGGCTTGACTTTGTATTGTCCTCATCGGTGCAGTGCAGCAGCAGCAGTGTTGACACAACTGCATGAGTGGTAGGGAGCGCTGCAAGAACATGGCTGAATGGAGAGTTGCTGGGAAAACGGGGTTGAGGAGTGTGTGGGGTGGGCTTTCAGCATTTGTTCTGTGTATGTTTCCTAAGGAAGTCCTTCTGTTGCTTGGCAGCCCAGCCTGTTGCATTTAATCCAGTAGGCAACAGGCGGTCTGGACAGCAAAAGTTCATCTGGGAGATGAAACACTGAGGAGAGGTCTGGTAGTGTGGGCAGTATTCTGAATCTCGTTTAAATCCTCAGAGCAGCCTTTGAGTTGTGTGTGTATGTAGGACTGCAGCACAAAAGGCTTCAGAGGCTTAGCCTGCCTTGGTGGGGCTAATAGAAGGTACGAACGCCTTCCAGTGTACAAAGCTGTCTTGCTCCACTTCACATTTCGGAGGTTGCATGGATAATAAAGCAATTAGCCTGAAACTGAAGCGCCGCCACAAGGGATAATTCAGCAGGGATAATACGGCTGCCTCACGCCTTCTGGTAGCAAGTCACAAGATTTGCTTGTTCAGTGCTGAGAATGTGTGTGTGTGACTGGGGACCCCCTGGAAAACGGGCATGTGAGAGAGCGAGGCAGTGAGAAAGATGGGGTGTGGATGCAACACTGAACAGCATGTGCCTGCCCTGACTTAGGGTGCCCAAAAAGGAAACTTCTTTCCCATGGTTGCATGGGATGGAAGAGAAAAAAAAAGAGCCTAAGTGTGAGAAAACAATTTTCTTCTCTCCGTGGCTGTGAGGAGAAGCCGAGTGTGTTTTACTTTAAATGGTAATGGGGCAAGGGGAGGGCCAGCTGCTGCTACATAGCCCAAAAAGCAGATTATCCAAAGGGGGGGGGGTGGTGTGTAGCAGAGGAAAGCGCACTGGATTTCATTCCTGTTCAGGGCTGACTGGAAGCTGTTTGGTAGGTAGCAGCATGTTTCACTCAATCTCCCTTGCTGCACAGGCATTGCGTGGAGTTGGTGTGTGCTTTGGGTCACTTCTGGAGGTCAGCTTTGCCTTAAAGGCCATGAGGGGTAGATGTCCTTAATTCAGATCGTATCTTCTAACTAAAGTGTGTGTGAAGACTGTTGGAAACAGTAGTGAAGACTTTTTGAAGCTGGATGCTGTGATCCCATGTGTGGAGCAGAAACGCCTCTTAGCTATCTCAGATTTCCTTGAACCCCAGTTAAGGGTTTTTTCCCTGTCAGAAACTAGGAAGGTTTATTGCATAATGGAACCAACTGAGGGGAAATAATGCAAATCAAAGCAGTCCTTATCTGGTGCAATTAAAAAAAATCTTAATATATTACCTTTCCCTTCCCCCATCTTCTTGATTCCTTTATTACTATGGTTATTTTATGACAGTTCACTTTTTATTACTGTGCCTGGAGGATTGTTCTTTTTCCAAAGAAAACCCTAGGCCTAGTCAGCGTGTGTTTCTGGAAAAGCAGGGGAGCAGGGACAGGGGCCTCTGGCATGTGAGGTGAGCTGTACAACCTACTCCAGTCCTGACTTGCTGAAAGCTGCAGCTCATCCTTCACCCAGGCCTTTCCAAGGGGTAGCCCTCACCAGCTTGTCTTGGGGAGAACTGGGTCCAGTCCACTCATCTTGATGTGTTTGTCAACTACTAGAGATGTCTGGAGTTATGGTGACTATTTATTACAGGTGAAGAAATGAGGAAGGCGATTCTTTGTAGTTGGCAGAGCTTCCAAAAACCCAGGATGGGCTGCTCAGCTGTGCAGTGATGACATTTGGAAAGCCCTCTCTGCTCTTGGGTCTTCACACAATTCCAGAGCAGTAGAGTTGTTTGTCCTAATACCCAGACAGGGCTTAAGGTGTGTGGGTGGTCCTTGTTTTATTCTGATGATTAAAAACCTGATTAGGTTTACATCTCTTCTTATGGGAGAAGAGCTTGTCCTTTCATAATTTGGGAAGCAGCAGACAGTGCACAATTAGCAATTACTAGCTGTTGAGTAAAAACTGCCTTGTACTGTCCTAGATGCCGAGAGTCTGATCGATTGATGCAGTTTAAATTTTTGATTCGAGATAGGAGATTGAATACAGCTCTTGGGAGGGAATAAGAAGGATCCAAAGAAGCCATTCCATCTCTTGCTAGGATTACATAGGGTCATGGAACAGTTTGCAATAGGCGGAGTTAGTTTTATGACTCATCTGGTTAATATATTTAGTCTCATAAGGCAGGAGGACAGTAACTTTTCTGTTTTCTCTGTACAATTGATTATAATGACATAAGCAGTAAAACAGACCAGGCCTCCAGAGACTGCATAATTTGTTTTGGCTCTTACTTGACATTTCTTGTTGGATTAGGTGATCTTAGAACACGGTACTTCTGAGCATGTCTGCTGATTTGTACCCCTCCTGTTTCC